TAATTAACTAATAACCACTAATTAAGAGTAATTAACTTAATTGCCATAGTTTCGAGTCCCAAACCAAGGAATAACCCCAAAAATCGCCCCCAAAATCCCATTTTTACCCCAAAAAAATCCCGTTTTTTCGCCGAAAATGCCAAATTTTTGCCATTAATGAAACTTTAATCCACTAATAATTACTAATTAGGCTAATTAACCTAATAACCAAGGTTTCATGACCCAAACCAAGGAATAACCCCAAACCAAGGCCCCGCATACCCAAAAAACGCCCCCAAAACCCCATTTTTACCCCAAAAATTCCCATTTTTTCGCCGAAAAACGCCAAATTTTCTCTAATAATGAACTTTAATCAACTAATAACCACTAATTAAGACTAATTAACCTAATTATCAAGGTTTCATGACCCAAACCAAGGAATAACCCAAAAATCGCCCCCAAAATCCCATTTTTACCCCAAAAATTCCCATTTTTTCGCCGAAAAACGCCAAATTTTCTCTAATAATGAACTTTAATCAACTAATAACCACTAATTAAGACTAATTAACCTAATTACCAAGGTTTCATGACCCAAACCAAGGAATAACCCCAAACCAAGGCCCCGCATACCCAAAAAACGCCCCCAAAACCCCATTTTTTCGCCGAAAAACGCCAAATTTTCGCTAATAACGACCTTTAATCAGCTATTAATCATTAATTATGCTAATTACCGGGGTGTTTGTGCACGCTGCGCTGCAGGAAGCGCAGGGGCAGCCCCTCGTGCACCACGGTGCAGACGAAGGCGGAGCCCCGCTCCCACTCCGCCCTCTCCACCTCCAATCGGCTGTAGAGGAAGTAGCGCCCCTCCCCCCCCATCTCCCGCCGCGCCGGCCCCGTCTCCACCCGGAATTTGGGGGAGTTTTGGCTGTTTTGGAGATTCTCCTGGTTTTTCTGCCACTGGACGTCGATGGAGTCGGGGAAGAAGCCGCGGGCGAGGCAGGTGAGGCTGAGGGTGGGGCGGGGGGAGGAGAGCTCCTCCGGGGGGGGAGGGAGCAGGAACACCGAGGGCGGGAAGCGCTTTCCTGAGAAAAAACAGAATTTTGGGAAAAAATGTGAATTTTTGGCGAAAATCCGGTGAAAATCGGGCGAAAAATGGCGAGGAAATGGCGGAAAAATGGCGACAAAATGGCGGAAAATGGCGAGAAAATGGCGGAAAATGGCGGGAAATGGCGGAAAAATGGCGACAAAATGGCGGAAAAATGGCGACAAAATGGCGGAAAATGGCGGGAAAATGGTGAGAAAATGGCGGAAAATGGCGAGAAAATGGCGGGAAAATGGCGAGAAAATGGCGGAAAAATGGCGGGAAAATGGCGGAAAATGGCAGAAAAATGGCGAGAAAATGGAGAAATTGGGGGAAAAATAAGGGGGAAATTTGGAGAAAGTTTGGGGAAAAATTGTGACATTTTGGGGAAAAATTGTGAAATTTTTGGCGAAAATCAGTGAAATTTTGGTGAAAATCAGGGATAAATGGGGAAAAGTTGGGGAAAGTTTGTGGGAAATTTGAGAGAAATTTGGGAAAAGTTTGGGTGAAAATTGGGCAAAGTTTCAGGAAAAATTCATGAAAGTTTGGGGAAAATTTGGGTAAAAATTGGGGAAAATTTGGTTGAAATTTGAGTAAAAATTGGAGAAAAAATGGAGGAAAAATGAGGAAATTTGGAGGAAAAATGGGGAAAATTTGGAGGAATTTTGGGTGAATTTTGGAGGAAATTTGCGTGAATTTTGGGGTGAAATTGGGGGTGAATTTTGGGTGGAATTGGGGCG